CGGTTATTGGTTGGACCATAACCGGGTTGTTCATTAGAGGAGCAGTGGTGTTTAAGGAGTAAGATGTAACTCAGGGGTAAAACGGTAATTTGACCGAACTTGAGTTACGAACACTCGTGAAGGATTGACTCGTCATTAATGGTCGTATATCCATGGACACGAAAACATTCTGCAGTGAGAGGAGTGCAACTGCGGGTCTTTAGTGGAATGACCCGTAGTTAACGAATCTAGATTAACTCGGTCAATGAGTTTGACCGATTAATCTTACATAGTTGGAGCTTCGGATCTGTAGGTCCATTAGGTCCCCTTGCTAGCTCATAACGGGTAAAACGAGGATCAAATTTTTTTTGGAAGAATTTGAATTGTTCAAATTACTTAAGGGATTATATGTATATTGATACATTAAAATATATATAGTTAATTGTAAATTAAAACTATATATTATGAGAGATATTATTTGAATGAGATTCAAATAAAATTAATATGAATGAGATTCATATTAAAACTATAGGTTAAAAATAATGTGCATAAGATGTACATTAAAACTATAGGTTATACGACATAAATGTTTTAGAATATGATTCTAATTTTATAATAAATAATTAAGTGTTAATTATTTATGTATATATATATTTATTAATTATTAATTGGATTAATAATTAATTATATTAATTAATTTGATTAATTAATTTTATATATATATTAATTATTATATATATATATATATTTTAGTATTAATATTAATCATAATATTATTATTATTAATATTAAACTCCCCTGCAAAATTGCAGGGGAGTGGGAGGTTTTGTGACGTGGGGAGTTACCCCACGTCACCCTTCTTCTTCTTCAAGAGTTGGGGAATGAAAAAACAGAAGGTTACAGAACAGAAAAGAGAACTCCCACAATTCTCTCTCAAAATTCTCTCAAACTCTCCCTCTCTTCTATCAAGGTGCTACCACAAGCACGATCCCGAGACCCAAGAAGATAGCAAAGAAAATCCGGTGGTGGTGTTCGAGGGGAACTTACTGAAGAAACGTTCTTCAAAGGTTTGTATTTCCTATGTATTTTTCCTGTGTAAAATTCGATTTTGTATCCCGAAAATCAGCAACGAAAGTCCACTTCCGCTCCGGGATTCACATCCCTTCACCTTAGTCACACAATGCTCTCCTTAGATTTTTACCACCTATCGAGCAAGGGATAGTAAAACTACCTGGGTCCTTACACTTAACATGCAATGGCTTTCCTAGAGCATCATCATCCGTCTCATGTTCTCCTAACTTCTTACGCCTAGAAACTTAGTGTAGTTAGGTATTTGCTCGAAGGCATCTATGAGAGATATATTTATATGCAACTGTTTTAGAATCTCAAAGAACTTCTTAAAATGACTATCTTGATTTTTCTTATCTAGTCTTTGAGGGAAAAGTGAAGGAATCTTAACGTTACCTACCTTCAGAGTAGTGCAAGGCACTACTTGCTTACCTGTGTCCGCCTTTTTACCTTTCTCTTCTAAACTTACGGGTTTTGCTTTTTCTTCTTGTTGTGGAGTGGAGGTGGATGCATGGAAAGGTGTAGCCACATCGGTTACTTTATTTGGAAGTGAGGGTCCATCATAACTTAGTCCGTTTCTTCTGATGACCGCCTTACACTGCTCCTTACCTTCACGAGCTTGCTTCGGATTCTCTGTGTGTCCTGGCAGTGTATCTTGTGTCTAGATTTTAGGTCATTCACTATCTACCCCACTTGCATCTCCAAGCTTCTCATCGCAGCATCATTCATTGTCATGTATTCCTTCATAATGGCCTCCAAACTTGCATTGTTGCCACTTTGCTGAGTGTTATTTTGAGCTCTTTGTTGATTGTATTGTTGTGGCGGCAACGTAGGTTGAGTGGGGAAACCAGGAGGAGTGTAGTTTTGCTTGTTTTGTTGAGCAGGTGCTTGCGCACTGCTACTTGCGCCTCCTTGATTACTCCAAGAGAAGTTTGGACGGTGCCTCCATCCAAGGTTGTAGGTATTTGAATATGGATTGAAGTTCCCTTGACCAACATAGAAAACAGACGCTAGATCAATTGGACAGTTCTCAAACGAGTGGTTATCACCACAATAAACACAAGATATATCTGAAATTTGTAAAACAGGAGAGAGTTTAAGAATCGCTGTTGAAGGAGCGGTTTTGGTTTCCTTCTCCATTGTCACTTGAGGATACTGTGTCTAACTCAAAGATTTTGTCTTACGTTTGCTTCTTTGGCAATGACCTTCCTACTTCTCCTTGGTCATTAACGTCTGTCATCTAGTTCAAAATATCAACGATCTCATTAACTGACTTTTCTAACAATGAGCCATTGGCTACGATGTTCAACATAATTCTCGATGAACGATTCAATCCTCTATAGAATTATTCTATCTCCACACATGCGGGGAATCCATGGCTCGAAAATCTTTCTAAGTAACTATTTGAAACGCTCACAGGCTTCTTGAACTGCTTCGTTCTCCTTTTGTCGAAAAGACACAATGTCTTCTCGAAGGTTTGCATTCCTGGTCAAAGTATGGTACTTTGCCAAAAATTTATCTATCAGTTCCGCCCACGTGGTGATAAAATTTGGTTCTATCGTGTTTAGCCCCACACACTGTCACTGAGAGAAAAATGGAACATTTTTAGTCTTAGTGCATCTTTAGAGACACCAAGATGTTGAAATGCATTAGTTATTTCAATAAAAGATTTGAGATGGAAGTAAGGGTCTTCGTTAATCAATCCTCCAAACTGGCGCATCGTCTGCAACATCTGGAATATGACTGACTTAAGCTCCAACTGTTCGGCTTGGGGTAAAGGATTACTTATCCCTAAATTTAAGTTGTGGAATGCATGAGTGACATAGCTACATCTCCGTTATGTATAGGAGGATGGGATTAGGAACTTCTCTTGCTGCTCGGTTTACTGGCCCTTCACCTGCCATATCTCCGTTCACAGGTGGATCTTGTGGTGGTGGAGGATCTTGTGGATTTCTATTCATCTCGATGGTATCTTCTTCAACTTCTAGTTCTTCAACTTCTTTCTATTTTTTATTTTCTCTTTCTTTTCCCAACCTCCGCTCACACATTATCCTTTTAAAAGTTCCTTCGATATCTGGATCAAAGGTCAACCAACCAGACCTTGGGCTCATACACAACTCCCTTAAAGGTTAGATATAACAATTAAGTCCAATGATCGAGGTATGCAACAATCACACATGAACAATTCACTTAAAAGGAATATGATTTTTAAAATTAAGTCCTCGGCAACGGTGCCAAGAACTTGTTCATACAAGTGCACACGGTCACGTGTAATACTTGGGAGTAATCCAAGGTCGAATCCTCAGGGACTGGTTGCTTTCAAAACAGTTTTTAAGAAGTGAATGGTTCAAATATGCAATTGTGGTTTATGGAAAAAAATAGCGGTGAAATGTCATTGT